CACTTGCACTTTGAACATTTTTTTTAACTCAAAAGCGATGTGTAAGGTTTCATTCGTCACCAGGACAGCTCGTCGGGCCTGCTGCAGACACGACATCTGTATCTGCTAGGAAACTACACTAGACAGCCTTCAGAATCCCTCCCGATGCTCTTGTTTCATGATGTTGTTAATGTTCTCTAAACCACAGTTTCTCACCTCAGCCCAGTTCACATTTGGTGATGGAAAATTCTTCCCTAAAAAAAAAACCCTGTGCTTTTCAGGATGTTTAGAAATATCCTTGGCCTCTACCCACTAGGTAGTCCTCACCTATAGTTGTAACAACCCAAAATGTCTCCAGACATTGCCAAATGTCCCCTGGGAGTTGCAGTAATCTCTGGTTGAGAACCAGTTCTCTACACATGTATTGTGAACCCTTGGACAAGCTTTTATTGACTGGTTTCAAGATATTAAAAATACATAACACACATACAGACATACGTACGGACATAAAAAGAAAGAGGTTAGTCACAAACTGTCTAGCTTCCGGTAGTCCCAAAAATTTGTATGAGAAGGGACGTTCTAGGAGAATGCTTACCTTTTATTCCTGAACAAGGCTTGCTCATTTCTGCTGGCCAAGATTTATAGTCCCTGATTGGTAGAGTTCAATGGAAAGAAGAATAAAGGCTTTGGAGCTCAGAACTGAATTCAAATCCCAGCCCTGCCACTTTGTCACTCTGAACATGTGGCTATTTTCTGTTTCTTTCCCTTTCTTCTGTAGCCTTGTGGGAGAACTACCCACATCTTACAATTCCTAGGGGTGTAAAGGAGGTATGGGGTGGGAGGAGTACTGTGTTTCCCTCCAGAGCCAAGTACTACTCTCTTATTTAACTAACATTCATGAAGTACTTACCCTCTGCCAAGAATCACTCAAAGAACTTTTCAAATATTAATTCATTTAATCCTCATGACAACTTTGTAAGTTGGATACTGTTAACATCCCATTTCACAGATGAGGAAACTGAGGCACAGAGAGGTGAAGTAACTCGCCCAAGGCCATGTAACTAGTCACTGGGAGAGCTGGAGCCTAAGGCCAGAGTCCATGACCTAACCACTCGATCATGCTGCTCGGTCCACTTTCTTATCTTCTGGTTCCTACAACATCTCCTGTGAGGTGCTTGCCATATCTTTTCCCTGGAGAGACTAAGAAGAGGATGTGGGACGAACACTAAGTCTTTGAGACAAGCCTCATTTTCTCATCTACAAAGAGGTTGGCCTGGCGATCATGATCTTTCCTTGGCCTTGGCACTTGACCACTTTGCCTCAGTTTTCTTGTCTGCATTAAAAAGGGTCTTATCACCCTTAATTCCCTGAGTGCGCTGGCCTGCTGTGAATATTAAATAGAGACCAAGGTTCAGTAGAGATCAAACATGAAAAGCATAGCACTCTATGCGAGTGTAAGCCATTGTGATACTGGCAACGCATCACATGCAGATTTTTTCCATCAGCTTTCACTGGCACCTGTCTCCCATGTATACGGTGATTTGCAGATTTCAAAATGTCTTCACATACATGATCTTATTTGAGCCTCCCCAGTACTAGCAGTGACTACGATTCAAGCCTTCTGATTCCTAACGCATTGTCGTTAGCCTTGGGGTGCTGGGCTCTCAGGCGCTTTTCCGTACCATTAAATCAGGCATAGACCCTGCTACTTGGCAACATTTAGTTTAAAACAGACACAGTGGTGCATATGTCAGGTCATTGACACACAGGAAACACGGTGTTTAATAGACATAATTCGATCACATTAATACGACAACTCAAAGAAGAAGGTCACATTATACTCATTTTAAAGATGTTAAAACTGAGGCTCAGAGAAGTTAATTTGTCCAAGGACACACAGAGGGTGGAAAATGTCTGCTGCAGGTGTGGGAAGGAGACCTTGAGGTACAGCCGTGCATTTCTATCCCTACACTCCGACCCTGCTTCTTGCTCCCAAAAGCTAATGTCTTTACTGTTCTTTATGCGTTCCACCCTCTTTCTTTCCCCTCTGCATTTCCTCACATTTTTTCCCCTGCCTCGAATGTCTACTATCTATGCTTAGACAAGAATCCCATGCCCTCCAATCAGCCTTCTCCAACTTCACCAGAACGAATGATAATTCTACTTCTGTTACTTTGGAAAAAAACATAAAACACAAAACTTGTTCCCAGATCACATGTTTGGACTTCTCCAGCTCAGGGCCCTGAGTCAGATGCTTATTTTACACCTCCCACAGGGTCAAAGAGATTCACAGAACAGACTTGTTTTGTGAAATTAAATACCACCACTTCCTCTTTGAATTGTACTTGTCCATCCGGTGCTATGTAAGTGTCTCTGCAGTTTTAGGTCTTTAATTTCACTACTAGAGATTCCCACCTCATGAGTTCTCTTCTTAGTTTCTCCTCCTTATTCAAAGTTCTGATACCCCCCTCTGGTTTTGTAACTATACCCAATACCAAAATGAAGCCAGGCTTGCTGGATAAAAAGACTTTGAATGAATCATCCTTTTCTCTTCTTGTCCCCTTTTTTTTTTTTTTTTTTTATTTATTTATTTATTTATTTATTTTTTTTAACATCTTTATTGGAGTATAATTGCTTTACAATGGTATGTTAGTTTCAGCTTCACAACAAAATGAATCAGTTATATATATACATATATTCCCATATCTCTTCCCGCTTGCGTCTCCCTCCCTCCCACCCTCCCTATCCCACCCCTCCAGGCGGTCACAAAGCACCTTTTGATTTGGTTCTCAGAGGAATAATTGTCTGGGAAAGGAGTCAAACAAATATGATTTAGAGTTAAAGCAGTCAGATTAGGCAATAATACAGCTGGTCCCCTTCACCACTCTTACTTTTTATTAACCCTTCTCCCTTAAGAAGCACTTGGGCACTTATTAAACATACAGATTCCTCAATCCCTTTCCAGACGTATTAGATTAAATCCAAATTTCTAGGGATGTATCATTCTTAAAAACGCCCTCAAGTGATTCTTACACTAAAGTTTAAAACAATAAAAGGAAAATTTGTCAGTTATAAGCAAGTTTTCTATTGTATTTAAATAAGTTATATCACAAATGTTAGCTAACAATATGACAGTGGTTTTCTAAGACGGAATATCTATAAACAAACCAGTGGACACTAACTGCTATGTAGAATAGTTTAATTCATAAAGACTCCGTTATAATGAGAAATACAAAACACATCTATACAAAACCTGAAAAGTTTGTGTCTTACCCCAGCACAAATTTACATTCACTCTATTAGACAAGGGAATACTATCCATTCTGATGACTGTTAACCACCACCTCTCTGCTAATTCATTCTTTCAACAATGTTCTACTGCATATCTGCTGTGTGCCAGGCACTGTTGTAAGACTCCCTGGTCAGTCCTTTATTACTTTAGCTTGTCAGTTAATAGTCTGCACCACCACATAGCAATATATTTTCCTGCATTATCAGCAAAGCCATCATTGCCCTCCTAGTCAGTCAGAAAGGAGAAAGACCTTCTAATTCTAGTTAAATATTTATCTACACCTTGCAGTTTCAAACATGATTCTTCGTGTGATTTGACCATAATTATATAGCCTTCTCAATCTGGGTGGTTTTCTCTTTGTGTCATAAAGCGAGTTCTTGATAATAAATATTTGAGGCACCTTTCTAAGGCAGTTCAAAGTGTTTTGGTATTTGTTATTCCATAAACTTTGACTTGGTGGGGAGTTGGTTGTTGGTGGGAATCAACTGATAATAGTCAGGGATCTCAGAGTAGACAAATGAGTCAGCAAGAAATGCAGAGCAAGGTGAAGAGCTTAGAAGACTGATTAGGAAGGACTGAGGAAGAGTGATATGACATATACACTGTGGTCTCCAGAACTGGCTGTATCAGAATCACCTCTTGAAATTTTTACACACCCAGGGTCCACCCCAGGCTGCTGAATCAGAATCAAGTATCTGCATTTTTAACCAAGCACTAGGGATTGGGAAGCCTTGTGGTAGAACCTTTGACTGGGGTCTTTCCTGAGAACATAGTGGAGGAATATTGAAGGAGCAAAAGCTGAGAGATAATAGGGGTGGGGGGATGCCCTGTAACTAGTCAAGGGAAGTGTTGAAAGTGACCAGGGACCAAGACTACAGAGCACAGCATTATGGTTAGATTCGAAATAAGAAAGGAGAAATGTCTAACATTAGTCAGTAGTGAAATCATTTTAGTGAATCATTTTAGTGAAGTCACTAGTGAAATTATTTTAGTGAAGACATTTTCTCTCTTGAGAGTTCTGACGGGGTAGCAGCTCACAAGACTGAGCTTGATCGCTGGATGAAATATGAGAAGTATAGGCACCACTTTGTTTGGGGGACACTTATTTCCTACTGGTTTTGCAACCACTGGGTTTTTCTGTGGGACTTGAAGCCTCTTTTTTCAGAGATACCTTCACAAAGGGAAATTAATCTTTTTCCAAGTAAACTTTAGCTACCAGGACACCACTAATAAGCAGTTAATGCTGACATTAGCTAGAAGCATCTGTTTTAATAATAATTTTATGCAGATGTAAAGAACTTTATCTCACAGAGTTCTCTTACAGAGCAACTAAGATAATGTCTGTGGAATAGCTTTGTAAAAATTGATTATAATTACTATTAAATAGAAACACTTCAAATGCAAAATAGGCATTGTTCAGGATGGTTGTCTTGAAAATTGCTGATGAAAAGAGAGATTGGTGAAAGGAGAAAAAGGAAAAAAACAAAACAAAACACACAACCAGACAACCTGAGAATGGAATCCTCATCCCCTCTCCTTTATGTTGTTTTTCTTTCCCTTATGTTTTTAATTCTCAAATATTGGCAATAGTCTGGAAATGTTACGCTAAGTTAGCTGAATGTGACTAACCCTAAGCAGGAGGGGTGCAATGAAATGTCTTCTGAATTGGTATCTACGTTATATCCAATACAGTTAGGTGTTGAATACTGTTTTGGTTTTGTTTTCACAGGCAGTACCTTTTTGAACTTAGTCTTAAAAATGAATCCAGTTGTTTTGCAGCCAAGATATGGCGCAGGAGGTGCGACGGTTAGTGACTGGCAAACCGGCGTGTTTGACTGCTGTGATGACGTGGGGATTTGTAAGTGCACATGGTCGTTGCTTTCTCCTGGGCTACAGTTGTGCAGTTGCTGACATAACAAAAATTGTTTGCTTATCCTCTCAAGGGATCCATGTTTTATTCTAGAACTCAGAGGTCACAAGGTGGAACCACTGGGCAGATTTTGCCACAGGATGTGTTTTGTTTGTCCTGTATATAATGACCCCTCTTGCTGTATTAATTTTAAAATAGTAGGAACCATATAAAAATCAGAGCCCACATAAAAATCTAACTTTCCAATCTAGATTTCCAGCTTCTCTTAAAAATTTGGAAAATCTGAAAAGAGGATTCCTCATCCTCAACTGGCAGAAGTCAGTTGCTACCGAGTATTAGCTAAACCCATTCAAAGGGACCATCACTCTACAGTTTGCCATATTTATGTCCACCATCTGCTATTGGCTATTTTGTGGGTTTTTTCCAACTATTTTACTCATTCATTTTTACTTGCCTGTCCTTGAGTTTGTGATTCTTGTCCAGATCAATCACCTCTTTTTATATTTTTCACCTCTTTAGTATCCCTGTGTTCTTGATGTGTTTCTCCAGTCTTCTCTTTACCTCTTCCTTTCCCTACAGTGGTGAGTCTGTGTTTCTGGTTTTCAGTATTCATGTGACTCTTGTGACTGTTCCATTTCAGGAAGCTTTCAGTTTAATTCCTTCACACTACCCAACACACTTTTGTGTAAGACAATTTCCTTGTTTCAGAGTCTATTGCCGAAAGAGTTGCAGACATTCTCTGTGTGGCTGGTCTTTCCACTGTCTTGAAAAACAGCCTCTTTTCTTTGTATATGATGGAAGTTCCAAGTTCAGTGGAGATAGCCTTTTGCTTAAAGCCATCAATCAAAAAACAAGAGCTTTCTTATCTCATGTAGGATACAGTCATATCAAAACTCTACTCTAGAACTTTTCAAAATAGACTTGTACTCAGCATGTTTGCGAACAGTTTCCTGTTTGTTGCTATTTCCTTAGGCCCTTTTTTGTCTTATACAGACTCTTTAAAGTGAAATTTCAGTATGCTTTTTAAGCTTTTGATGCCTATACGCCTTAACTTTTACTTGCTTCAATCCTCATAACAATAATAGGCCTCTACTCTTTGCCAGAACAACCATCTAGAATCTGTTTCCTACTGCTCTACTCATTTTTCCAATTATTTCTTCACTCCATGTTTTCTGACCCTAAACACCCTCCCACAGTTTTCAGAGGGTTTCTCAGACCCCCTGACGCCACAAACTTCCTATTCAAGGATGATCCAAATGTAAACAAGGGTAGGGAAGAAATAATTTGGACGTGCTCAGATCGGCAAGGCAGGAGATTTTGCAATTAAATCTGACCTGGCATATGACAAGTCAATTTTCCCCACCTCCAGGAGTGTAGGGTCCAGAAGCAAGACATAAAGAGCCAGGGGACCCCAGTGTTTTCTCTGAATGTCCATTAAGGCCATTTCCTGAGTGAGCATCTTTTTGAAAGCGGTGTGATTAAGTCAAACTCACGATGACCCTGACTGATTCCTCTGTGTGATTTCACCCTGCCCTCAGGCCTCTGTGGGACTTTCTTGCCCCTGTGCCTTTCATGTCAGATTGCCTCTGACATGGACGAATGCTGCCTGTGTGGAGCAAGTGTCGCCATGAGGACCATGTATCGGACCCGATACGGCATCCCGGTGAGTCACCCACGTCCACTGTGAAATAGTTACCCAGACAGGACAGGCCGAGGGCCTTCCTTCAGTCTGACTGGATCTCCATGATTGCCCCCCTCACCATCATGATTTGACCCTAGTCTTTTCTCCACTACCATCCTAAATTTTTTAAGTGATTTACAAAGACCATGTGGCTATCTATCCTTTGGAATATATTCATAATAAAATCTTTTATTGATCCAATAGATATGTCTCTGAAAAAGTCGCTGGCGGCGAGCAGGTGAGGGATGGAGGTCAGCACAGAGTCCTTAATCTCTCCTGGCTTTACTCAGAGTCAGACAGAGGACCCTGCAGGGTGGGTGACAGTTGCTTAGAAAGCATTGGGTAAAAAAAGGGTGTATGATAGCTCCCCTCAGAGCTGGCACATTGGTGAGACAGTTACCTCACTGGTAACTCATATGCCAGTGTTCATTCATTCAAAAGGGATTATTGAGCATCTAGAACGTTGTTAGGTCATAAGCTGAAGTTCACTCATTCAACAGGGATTTATTGAGCACATAGAACACGCAAAGTACTATTACAGATATTAAAGACACATCAGTGAATAAAGGAAATCAAAATCGCTGTCTTCATGGAGCTTACATTCTTTTTTTTTTTGAGATTTTTATTTAACATAATTTCAGACTTAAAGTTGCAAAGATGGTACAAAGACTTCCTGAATATGCTTCACCCAGATTCCCCAAATATTAAAAATTTGCCACATTTTCTTTATTTTTTTCTCTTTCCTCCATCTATCTATGTATCTATTCTATTTTTTTCTGAATCATTTGAGAGCAAGTTATAAACGTGATACCCTGTTATCTCTATTTCAGTGTGTATTTCTGAAAAACAAGGACATCCTCTTACATTACCACAGTGCAATTATCAAAACCAGGAATTTAACATTGATACAATACTATTAGGTAATCTATGGATATTATTTAAGCTTTACCAATTATCCCAATAATTTTCTTTAGATGAAAAGAAAGTCAATCTGGAAGCAAACATTGTATTCAGTTGTCATGCCTCTTTAGTCTTCTACAATATGGAAGAGTTTCTCAGTCTTTGTCTTTTTTTTTTTTAATGAATACAGATCAGTTATTTTGTAGACTATCCCTCCGTTTGGCTTGTCAAATGTTTCCTTATGATTAGACTTAGGTTACACACTTTTGGCAGAAACTCCACAGAAGTGATGCTATGTTTGCTTTGCATCACATCAGGAAGCAAGTGACATCAATTTATCTCATTAGGCGTGATGTTAACTTTGATTCCTTGGTTAAGATAGCATCTGTCAAGATTCTCCATCACAACGTTGCTATTTTCCCCTTTATAATGGATAAGGACTTTGTAGAGAGATGTAAATATCCTGTTCCTCATCAAACCCTCACCCATCAAAGATTCTTGCCGCATCAATTACTACTATGATGGTTATCAATGGTAGAGCTCAGACACTAATGGAACAAGATAGCTGCAATATAACTAAGTAAGAGTATAATCTATAGGATGGCGATAAGTGCAACAGAGAAAAATAAAGCAAGGAAGAGAGGGCTTCCCTGGTGGTGCAGTGGTTGAGAGCCCGCCTGCCGATACAGGGGACACGGTTTTGTGCCCCGGTCCGGGAAGATCCCACATGCCGCGGAGCGGCTGGGCCGGTGAGCCATGGCCGCTGAGCCTGCGCGTCCGGAGCCTGTGCCCCGCAACGGGAGAGAACACAACAGTGAGAGGCCCGTGTAGCGCACAAAAAAAAAAAAAAAAAAAAAAGCAAGGAAGAGGAATAGAGTGTTGAAAGGTTCTAATTTTGAATAGAGTTATCAGGAAAGACCTCAGTAAGAAAGTAAACACCTAAAAGGATGAGAGGATGACTCATCTGGGGAAAGTCCAGGCAGAGGAAATAGCTAGAGCCAAGGTCCTGAAGTAGAGCTTACCTGGAATGTTCCAGACACAGCAAGCAGCCAGAGAGGCAGAAATAGTTTGGGGGGTGGGGGGAGGGAGACGGGAGCGTGGAGAGATAATACAAGATGACATCAGAGCATTAGCAAGAGTTAGACCTTCTAGGGCCTTGGAGACCATTATAAGAACTTTAGCTTTTATTCTAAGTGAGCCGGAAAGCCATTAAAATGCTTTTAAACAAAGAAGTGACAGGACGGATTTGTGTTCCTGAAAACTTAGCCTCTGCCCCTCTCATTGTGACCGAGAACAAGTTATTCGTCTTACTAAGCTTTGGCTCCCTCACTGATAAAATGGTAAGAATAATACCTCCCCCAAGGTGGCATAGTAAGAGTCACATAAGATCATGCATGGAAAGGACTTAGCACAGGGCCTGGCAGGTAACTGTTGTTATCTTTGTTCTTAGCTCAGCTGTCTTCTCCGCGCAGGCTACATTCCTCCTGTGGGCTTGCCCAGCTGCCTGTCTCTCAGCACTCCCTGCAGCTCTCATTTATGCCACTCATTTATGCCACTCTCATTTATGCCAGCATAACTTAACACAGGGGTTCTTAACTTTGTGGCTGTCCCATAAAGTTCCCAAAACTGTACACTAAGTGTTGGGTGTATGTAGTTGTGTACATGGGTGTGAGGGTGAGATTCTCAAAGTGGCCCGACCATAATGGCGTAGAGGAAGGGGTGCTTAGCTGGATTCTGGAGATAAAGGTTCTGGGAACAGCTCAGCAAGTAGCTAACTTTTGGACTCTCTGAGAAGTCATTTGTCAGCATCAGTTTTCTCATCTGTCGTGAGAAAGTTGTGCAAGATGATTTCTAAGGTCGCTTCTAGGGTCTGGGATTCTATGCTATAATAAATTTCCTTGGTATACATTAAATAAGTGTATTTATAGACAACGTATCTCTCTTCTTCTTCCTTAGAACAGACTTCAAAAATGGCTAGTAAATCCTAGGACTGATTTATATAATTCAGGTTCTTTGCTTTGTTTCCCGTTTGCATCTATGCAAACTTTTATAGGGCTGCTCCAATACAGCCTCTCTGAACTGCCCCTCCCTTCATGGACACAGTCAAGACAGCATCCCTTTGGCTAGGGCCACAACCTCTGTAGCAGAGGAGAAAGAAAAAAAACAACCACTGATTGAACGCCTAGGTGCTGGGACACTACCTTAACATATATGTGCTCATTTACTACTTACAAACTCTTTATGGTGCAGGGATTGTTATCTCCACTTTATAGATATGAAAACCAAGAATGAGAAAGGCTTAAGGTCACAGAACATGTAAATGCTGAAATTCGGGCTCAAGCTTATTCTGACTTGGAGTCAGGTCTGGTCTTTCCCACTTGACCACCTTGTCTTCCCAAATTGAAGTGTATTCAGCCATGTACCACAATTCATTTGTTTATTTCCTCAACGATTCTGTAAACAAGACTTCTTTTTTTAACAGCTTCCAAAAAAAGTGAAGCACCAGTCCCCTTTCCCAAACAGAGTGATGAATGCAAAATCTTTGCTTCAGGCACCCACTTCCCAAGAAGCTGCTCTGGTCAAGGCGTTTATGTCCCTTATTAACTTCAGCATGGTATAAACCTGTAGTTCATTTCCTCTCATTTGAAAAAGGAATGTTTTTTTCTTTTCTATATTCTCTGTATTTGTATTATGAAACAGACTTAGAAATAGGGTGTGTTTTCTAAAGGTTTCCCTAGGTCTCTTAGCAAATAATAGTGGGACTTTTTTCCCCCTAAAAACTTCCTGAGGTAAAAGACAGACACAGACATGCTGGAACAGAAAAGTGGTTACATCCTTGTTGAATATTTTCTTCCTTGTAGCATATAATATGTATTCAGTAAGTGTTGGTTTAATGAAGGTTTAAAAGATAAAAAGAATAAAAATAAACAATGAACTAAAGAATGAAAAAAACAAGTACTTTGAGGAAGGGTCAGAGGATTTGGATGCTTTATCAGGGAAAAAGAGAAGGCCAAGAGACTGAATTTTCTTCAAGCTGAATATCCATTCCTCCATCTGATGAAGGTCACATCATTAGAAGATTTCTAACATTGTTATCTAGTTGTCCACTCTTTGTCCCACATGCTTCCTCTGTTAGATGAACATCAAAATCACTGTAGCAAAGAAAAAAAATTTTATGAAAAATAAATCACTTATAATCTCACCATTTAGGAGCTCCCAATCCTTATAAACTAAATCTACTATAGATCTCTCTCTCTCTCTCTTTCTCTCTGTCCCTGCTCATACTGTAAATTGGGAGTTGTATTAAATTCAACATTTTAAAGAATAAATGCTATCCAAAATTGGAGTTCAAAATTATTTCAATCAGTCAAGACACACAGTCATAGAATCTGGTTGTCAGACTAGAACCCTCAGATCACTCGGTGCCGACTACACAGGGCAGGAGTCCCTTCAAGGGCATCTCTACCCAAGGGCATTAAGACCCAACTAGACCTACCATGGAGAGGGCCCTCAAAACTTTGCAAAAGGCTTCCCTGGTGGCGCAGTGGTTAAGAATCCGCCTGCCAATGCAGGGGATACGGGTTTGAGCCCTGGTACGGGAAGATCCCACATGCCGCAGACCAACTAAGCCCGTGCGCCACAACTACTGAGCCTGCTCTCTAGAGCCCATGAGCCACAACTACTGAGTCTGTGCACCTAGAGCCCATGCTCTGTAACGAGAGAAGCCACCGCAATGAGAAGCCCACACACCACAATGAAGAGTAGCCCCTGCTCATTGCAACTAGAGAAAGCCTGTGCACAGCAATGAAGACCCAATGCAGCCAGAAATAAATATAATAAATAAATAAATTTATAAAAAAAAAAACTTTGCAAAGCAGCCCATTCTACGAATGAATAGTGGCTTTTCCAGACACTATTCATTCTCTTCTTTCTTCTTTTTCCCGTACTTTATATATCCCTCCCTCACTATGGACTTCCTCCCTTGCAGAATAGCATGAGGGACGTCAATAGAAATGGCTAGAGGGATACAAGGTAAAGCTTCGTCTGGCACTATACTCATAACCAATTGGAAAAATTGGTGCATTACACAACTGGCTTTAAAGGGAACTATTCCACATTAATAAAAATAATACATAAACCAAAAGTTTTCTTAAAAAGAAAAAAAAGAGACAACAGATGATAGACAACTGGGGCTGTAATTGTAACCTGCAGATCATTTGAAATGGTATGTTATTATGAAAAGGGCACTGGCTCGAGAAGAGAAAGACCAATCACTGCCACTAATTTCTGTGATCTTAGCAAGTCAGTTAACTTCACTTGGTCATCAGAAAAGTAGGGATAACGTCACAGAATTCTCATGATAAACAAGTGACATAAAATGTATGTTTTAAAGAGGTATGAAAAGTTAAACAAATGCAAGGAATTGTATGACTGTATTTATAGGCTACATGTTGATCCGTTTGTTTTTTAACAGGGGTCTATTTGTAATGATTACCTATGTCTGGCATGTTTTCCTTTTTGCACCCTTTGTCAACTCAAGCGAGATATTGAAAAAAGAAGAGCAATGAATGCTTTGTAAAAGATGTACGGTAAGTTGGTGGGAATTCTTTGATTTGTGAGTATCAAAACAAATTCTCAAGGACATCTTTGATTCCTTTGGTACTCTGTCTCACCGATACATGAGATATCCATTACCAAATTGGGGGGTAAATGACTTTCAATGGCCAGCCTACACCAATCAGTTGGGAGTCAGCTTCCCAGAGCCTGGGTAGAGAGGGCTAACCCCGATTGGATGGGAAAGAATTCTGTGATTTGTTAGGATGTCTGCCACATGTAGAGTGGCCGTGTGATGTACCAAATAAACATACCACATCTCATCCATAACTATCTTAACTACATCATGATTTAAGGTAGTAGAGACACGTGTACGACAGAACATTCATTTCCCTAAGCCTAGATCACAGGTTCACTGCTGTCAACAGTAACCCATTGAGATGTTACACTAAGTGTGACTGTGTAATATATCTAGTTATATGTTCTTGTCAACTCCACAATATTGAAATAATAATTCATTCTCCAAAGTGGTAGAAAGCTATCTCAGTCTCTATAAATTAAGTGTGGACAGTTTACCCAGTTATCCAAAAGGCCCAAAGTTCCCGTTTAGGAAGAAAAGTACTGACTTTTTGGTGGCAGTATGGTCAAAGTTGGGCAGCTACTCATTTACCTAGTTTCCTAAGCTCTCCTGGTCACATTTTTCCACCTTTTTGTGTGTGTGTGTGCGGTACGCGGGCCTCTCACTGCTGTGGCCTCTCCCGTTGCCAAGCACAGGCTCCTGACGCGCAGGCTCAGTGGCCATGGCTCACAGGCCCAGCCTCTCCACGGCATGTGGGATCCTCCCAGACCAGGGCAAGAACCCCTGTCCCCTGCATTGGCAGGTGGACTCTCAACCACTGCGCCACCAGGGCAGCCCCTGGTCACATTTTTAATCCTCTCAGTTCTTCCTATTTTTCTCAGGCCAGAGAGCAATGGCTTACTCAGTCCTGCCTTTCCATCACTTACTGCCAATCCCATTGAATTTGTTATCAAAGTTTTATTTTCATCTGGAAATAGCTATTGTCTACAAAGTCTTATCTCCCAAAGTCTTCAAAAGTGTTTGGTCAGGATGGTGCCTTCATGAGTATGACTGGTTGGCACTGGCACAGTCTGTCTCCCTCTTACTTATTTTGCCCACATGCAGCACCAAATGATGTCCTCTTCATGAACAACTTAGCTCATTTCATGTTGCATTTTAGTACCATTTTATTTTGTTATTATTATTTTTTATAAATTTGTTTATTTTATTTACTTATTTTTGGCCGTGTTGGGTCTTCGCTGCTGCACGCGGGCTTTTCTCTAGTTGCGGTGAGCGGGGGCTACTCTTCGTTGCGATGCGCGGGCTTCTCATTGCGGTGGCTTCTCTTGTTGTGGAGCACAGGCTCTAGGCATGCGGGCTTCAGTAGTTGCGGCACGCGGGCTTCAGTAGTGTGGCACGTGGACTCAGTAGTTGTGGCTCACGGGCTCTAGAGCACAGGCTCAGTAGTTGTGGTGCACAGGCTTAGTTGCTCCCCAGCATGTGGGATCGTCCTGGACCAGGGATCGAACCCGTGTCCCCTGAATTGGCAGGCTGATTCTCAACCACTGCTCCACCAGGGAAGCCCCTAGTACCATTTTAGTATCCTAGTATTTGTCTTCTGATTGCTTTCTTCAATGACTGATGTGCTTTACTCATTTACAAGCAGAGTCAAGATGGTGAGTTTTCTTATTCTTTTTCCTCCTTGTACCCTACATCCTGAGAATTGGCTGTTGTTTCTCTTCCCTAGCACTGATGTTTCTTTAAAGCCCTTTGTTACCAATGTGGCTCAGAATTTTGCCAAAGTAGCCCTAGTCCCCTACTTAGAATGTGGCAGTTTACTGGTCTAGTCATCCAGTTAATGAAAAAAATTGTTTTGGGGTCTCTGCCTTTAGGAGTCTCTTACCTTAGCATGTTTGGTGAGTCATTGCCATTTGGTAAGAGGGGTTAGCTCTGGCAATCTACAGAGCATTCTGTTGGTTTTCCCAACCACCTAGCAATGGTGCCTGATGCATAGTAGGCACTTAATAACTAATGTGGATGAGTAAATAAATGCAACTTTCAAGCAAGGAAGCATAATGAGGCTCTAACCTAGAAGACTCATCTGAATCTTAAGTAGTGCTTATGACTCCTCCAAGTAGGCTGTACTGAACCAGGGGCCATTATTTGGTATAGATTTTAAATATGCAGCAATTTGGCAGTAGGGTAGCAGTGGAATGAAAGTTTTGATACTTGGAACAAGATAATGTAAAGATGGAATTGATAAGTCCTAATTCATTCATCGATTTAGTCTTTCCTTTTCTTTTTCTGATTTCTACAGGTCAAATTCACTAGTAGTGAAAGAAAATGCTGGAATGAAATACTGCATCTATTCAGTGCTATCTCACCTCAAGCCTTAAGAAACTAATTCAGCTAATCATATGGTTTCAAATGGCTTCAAAACATTTTTAATTTTTGGTTTATTTTGAAATATATTTCCACTGCTGTTCTCTGAGATGAATGCCATTAAAAAATTCATTTCCTCAACAATTCTTGTGTCTTTAAATACTGCTTCATGGAAAATTACAATATGCTTCTTTTAAAAATGAGCCCAAGCTTGTCAAAATGTCAAAGTTGAATGATGGGTTCGTAGAGATTCTTCATTCTACTTTTCTACCTTTACGTAAGTTTGAAAATGTCCAGAATAAGAAGTTTTTTAAATGTTGTCAATTAAAAGGCTTCTGTTATTTTGGATTTTCCCTGCACTGGGAGACCAGGTGTTACCCTGCACGGCCCTTCACCCCAGGAAAGTGTGGTTTCCTCCCTCAGGGAGCCTGAATGTCTTTTGGCACGTCTTCACAGCCCCATAAAGTAAATCTACTCCAGGAGTTAATTGCCTAGCAATGAAGAATTTACTGTAGATTTTATACACAAAGGGAGGATTTCTGTCATAAGCCATGTAGCAAACCACCTAATTAACATTCCCACCACCCATCTCTGTCCTCCCCAAAGTCATCCCCTGCAGCAAGCCAGCCACAGGGACACCACATACCTTTATTTTTCCTTTTTTTCTAGGTTAACTTGGAATTTTATTACATTTTTTTAATTGAGATATAATTGACATATAATATTGCACTCATTTTAGGTGTACAACATAATGATTTTATATATGTATATATTGCAAAATGACCACCACAATAATTCTAGTTCACATCCATCACCACACAGTTACAAAATTTTTTCTTCTCGTGATAAGAACTTTTAAGATTTACTCTCTCGGCAACTTTCAAATATGCAAGACAGAAAACTTAAATAGCGTTACAAGGTCACCAGTGTATACAGAATGGCAGTGCTGAGTCTAGAAAGCAGGTCCTGTTTCATTGTTCATGGCAGTAAACAGAAGTTATTTATTTATTTATTGTCTTATAAAAATTAACCCTAGGGTTTAGGATTCCAAAGATTGCTATTATAAATTTATAGAATATCCTGTCTTTTGCCTTCCTAGCAGTCTTCATTTTTTTTGGTTTAACACCTGCATCGATGGTAATTGATAAGCATCATGAAAGCAGGGACAGATCATATTTGTTCTAATTTCCTTTTTACTCCCCCAGCACATGGAAAATATTGTGGTCAAGAGGTCAGTAGATTAGTTTCAAAGGTGTAAAAGGTGGCAAGAATAGTAATCAGGTAAGACATTTGTGCAAAATGAAACTATTTGGAGGTATTTTTTCTAGTCATTTTCCTTATGAAAATATGTGATGATGTTGTGCATACTATTTTCTAAACTGCTTGTTTTGTTTTATGGCTTAGCCACAAATTATGAATGACTTCCCATATTAATAAATATCAAAAAATATGCACTACAGTGCTATTAACTATAGTCACCATGCTGTACATTATATCCCCATGACTTATTCACTAGAAGCTTGTACCTTATGACCACCTTCATTTTTGCCCACCTCCCACTGCTGGCAACCACCAATGTGTTCTCTGTATCTATGAGTTTGGGTGTTTTTGGTTTTGTTTTGTTTTGTTTTGTTTTTTTAGATTCCACATATAAGTGAGATCACATGGTATTTGTCTTTCTGTCTGACTTGTTTCACTAAAGCATAATGCCTTCAAGTTCCATCCATGTTGTTGCAAATGGCAGGACTTCCTTCTCTTTATGACTGAACAATATTCCAACAATATTCCAATATATATCACATTTTCTTTACCCATTCATCTGTCAGTGGACACTTAGGTTGTTTCCATGTCTTGGCAATTGTAAATAATGCTACAATGAACAGGGGGGTGCAGCCCACATACCTTTCTTATGCAGAGCAATTTAGTTCCATCTCAGCCTTCTAGTCCTAGGAACCATAGCCCCAAAGATGCAGGATGGGCGTGGAATTCTGCTACTAAGCAAAACAATGTGTTTTCCATGTAGCTTACTTTAAAGTTACTTAAAAGTTATGATAAATAAAAAGGTTTTTAAAAAATCTTTGATAAGGATGAGAACAGTTCTCATTAGCCTCATTCTCCCACTCTTGATATTATGCTTTATCCTGTACCTTCCAAATTCCTAAGGCTCCCTCATACCAGGCCACTTCCCTTAATTAAATCAAAACCTCCTTAAATGCTACTGCATGCTAGAAGTAAATCGCTAGAGCCAAGAAGCAACCTCAGAGGAGGCTGAGGTTGGGGCTGCGGGAGGAGACATGTAGGAGATTTACAAATTGACAAAGCAAAAGACAGCACAAAAGAATTCATCTCACTTTTCCAGGGTGTGTAATAATTATCCATACATTCTTCCTGCCATGGATGCTATATCAGAGTTAGCTGCTGCTGCTTAGTGGCTTAAACAACAACAGCCATTTTTCCTACTCAAGAGTCTATAATTTGGGCAGGATACTCTGTCTCTGCTCATGCAGTGTGAACTGGGAGAGCTCACCCCGGGCTGGAAGATAGTTGGAGGTGCCTCTTGGCCATGGGTTCAGCCAGGGCTTGAGCCTAAGGGCCTGGGCTCCTCTCTACATTCGCCACACCACAGGCTGCTTGGACTGCCTCACAGTATGGTTGCTGGGAGTCCAGGGCAAGCATCTCAAGAGAAAGATATGGAAGTGAGTAACATTTTTATGATCTAGCTTCAGAAGTCATATAGCTTCATTTCTTCCGAACTCTCTTGGTTGGGGCAGTGGCAAAGGTCCACCCAGTTTCAAGAGGGAGGGGACACAGACACTGACTCAGTGGAGTGTAGCAAGGTACTTGAAGAATATAAGACAAGGGCTATTGTTGCAGCCATCTTTGGAAAATAGAATCTGCCACAGATGCTGTGAGGCACTCTGTGTTTTGTCTTGTGGGGGGTCAGAGCTGTAGTCCATCTGTTCTCAATAAAGCTCCTCTTGGAGGATTGCAGCAGATTGATGAGTTGCTGCAATTATCTGCTTCTCACCCCTCTAGACCTGACTGATGAAGATATACTTTTTTTTTTTTTTTTTTTTTTTTTTTGGCTGCGCTGGGTCTTAGCTGCAGCGTGCGGGATCTAGTTCCCCAACCAGGGGTTGAACCCGGGCCCCCTGCATTGGGAGCATGGATTCTTAACCACTGGACCACCAGGGAAGTACCTGAAGATATACTTTTAAAACATCTGATGATTCGTTCAAACTAAGGAACTACTTTTTTCCCCCTAAAACTGAAAACAAAATTATTTCTCCCAGAACAAAAGAAGAATCTTCCCCACGAATTTGCAATTTACACTGAGAGCAAAGATACAAATTTCTGAGCTAAAAGCCACTTTTTAAGGTTTCCAGCTTTCAAAAGCATGTAGGTCTAAACTTTGAGAGGCACAATCAAGAAAAGCTAAACACAAATGAATTTAACTGAAGGACATGAAGAAAGGGAAGAAATTCAGGATAATTTGTTTTCCAGCTTGAGCAGCCAGGTGGAGGAGAGAGCCACTAAGCAAAATGGGGAAGACTGGAGTGGAATGGGAAAAGAGGTTTCGAGAACATTGAAAGCTCTTTTGGGATTTGTTAAGTTTGAGGGGTATAAGGCATCCAAGGGAACGAGTCAAGAGAGCGATGTCAAGAGTTTCAGTCAAAGGAGAGACCCAGGGTAGAAATACAAATTTTAGATTCGATGGCACTAAACTGGTGCTTGAATCCATGGCAATGCATGAGATGAGCAACAAAGATCAGAGAGAGAAGAGGGTTGAGGGCCAGGGCTGAAGAACTCTGAGATTTGGACATTAGTTAGAAAAAGGGATGGTTAGCAAAACTCAGAAGGAGCAGTTTGTGTGAAGGGAGAGTGAAACCAAGGAATATAGAAGAGGAGAGTGTTTCAAAAGTGAGAGACCAAATAATATGCAGACACTTGAATTGGGCCACTCAAATGGAATAGGAGATTTTTTGGAGAGGGTCTCTCATTTGCAGGGCTGTGGGGAAGGACAGCAAATGATTTCTCCTGTGGATGGCTATGAAAGGGTAACTATCTTGGGGAAATTAAACTGTTGGATCGTGCCTTTCCACATTTGGAGGGTGATAAAGGTCAGAATAACAAATGGGGCAAGGGGAGGGAGTCGGGGGGGACAAGGAGAGGGCTAGACACAAGGAAACTTCCCTTGTGTCCCTCTGAGCTCCCAAATGAACTCAGCTTTATTGCTGTGGCTCACTAACAGTCAAGTCCCAAGGGCTCACTCTATTGAATAATCACTTGCAGGAAACTGACTGCTTAGTTATCTGAATTTCTTTAGAAATAAATTATCATTCTGGCATTCTACAGGAAACGGCTGTCATCTCATCCTTGGGTCATTGTGTTTAAGACACGCTGACTTGCATTGCTTTCTCAGTTTCAGCCAAGAATGTTAGTTCATGGCAGGATGGGAGGTGGGAGATGGAAGGAAGCAGGCTCTGTCCACTCTTCCCGGCAGTGTGATCAGGAATCTCACAAACAGGCTGGCATGTAAGACTGGAAACCCTTTTCCCAGATCCTTTTCCAGACAGGATTATCTTCTTCATTTCTTTACCCTCTTCAGAGCTTAGCAGATAACTTTGCACATAGGAAGCACTCCACAAATAGTTCATTCAATAAGTATTTACTGAGTGCCTACTATGTGCCTCTCTGTGCCTCAGTTTATGAACTTATTAAATGGGGATAATATTAGAACCTACCTCACAGGGCTGATGTAAAAATACAATGAATAATATATATAAAGTGTTTAGAAGAGTACCTAACACACAGTAAGCGCCCAAGAAAAGTAAATTACCTTTGTTATAATTCTTATCATTTGCGAAGCATTATGTGAAGCTCTGGGGACAAAGCAGTTAAAAAAAAACAGACTCTTTCAAGGAGCTTAAACTCAAAAGCTGTTGTAGAATGAATAAATAACATTTACCAACAATTTCTGTAAAGGAATGTTTCCCTTTGTACTTTCTCTAGATCTCTCTACTCACTCCCAGATCTCTACTAATTAAAAACAAAACAAAAACAAAATCAAAGAAGCAGAAATTTCTTATGAGACTCTCGCATGAGTGATTTCCTTGGAGTGGAAGCGTTTGCTT